AGTACTTTTCCGCCTTTTGAAGCTTTTGGGCGGTTAAGGGGGTCACAGGAGCAGGCTGTCGGCTACTAATACTACTACTACTACTACTACTACTACTACTGCTACTACGCGACGATGACGTCCGCTACCACTGCCACGACCACCACCACTTCCCTGGTCGCGGTCCTCCTTGAGCCGCGTGCGCACGCGACTGAACCTTTGGGCGGCAAGATAGGGTTTAGGGTTTAGGGTTTCGGGTTTAAGCTTTAGAGTTTCGGGTGTAGGGTTTGGGGTCTTCGGACCTCGGCAGGCTTGAAAGGATACTTAGAGTTGAGGTTGTCGGGTTCAAGATTTAGGGGTCAAAGGGTCGTACACGGTTCGATGAGGTTGTGTGAGTGCTGCGCACGTCTTTGCCACCGCAACCTGTAGGAACTCAGCCTTCCAACAACGACGTCTGAATGGTCAACAACAATCAATACCCCTTGCAGACCCTACGAAGCTATGCTTCCATGTACCCAGAAGCCTATACTAGTCATGAATGCCCCTATAAGTCCCTGCACCGCCTTCCTGAAAAATGGGTACGTGCACTTTGGACCACACCCTACCGTAGGCGCCGCCTGATCCTGAATCCACACTGGCCGCAAACCCGAGCAGCGGTCTAAGTGCTTGTATTGCTTGTATCATGTACAGGTCGGCTCCGAAGCAAGTCCAGCTGCGGCCAGTGCATCGCCTGTAATATAGCAGTGTGACAAACTTCAAGCAAGCATCATCAAGATCAGCTGGGCCTACGAGTCTTACCAAAATAAGCAATCATCATCAGCATCTGGCCAGGACGTCGTCTGCGTTCCCGGCTTGAAGAAAGGCAAAACGAGCATCATCTGGGTGCATTCTGCCCAGGCCGGGCCGGGCGCTGCGAAAGCGCAGCTGAACTCCAGGGAGTTGTCATCTTCACGCCAAACCATCGCCGAGGTGGAGTGCCTCAGCACCCCTGAGCCTGCACACCCCAAACCCCAAACCTTCACAACAGCGGACCCGCACAGGCCCTCCAGTGTTGTCTGTGTTGCGGGTCTGAAAGCAAGCATCATGAGCACCAGCTGAGCCAATGTGGTGTCTGCGTTGCAGGCTTGAAGGAAGTCAGCAAGCATCATCAGCATCAGCTGGGCCAGTGCGCTGTCTGCGCTACGAGTGTGACCACAACATGCAAGCATCATACCTTGTCTCTGTTGGGAATCTCACAAACATCAAGCAAGCATCATCAGCATCAGCTGGGCCAGTGTGTTGTTTCAATTGCGGGTCTGACAAAACCCTTAAGCAAGCGTCATGAATGTGGTGTCGGCGTTGTGGGCTTGAAGGAAGTCAGCAAGCATCATCGGAATCAGTTGGGCCAGTCTTACCACAACAAGCAAACATCATCAGCATCAGCTTCCCTGTCTTTTTTTGTTGGGCACATCTAGCAAGCATCATCAGCATCAGCTGGGCCAGTGTGCTATTTCCATTGCGGTCTCAAAAACCGTAAGCAAGCATCATGAGAATCAGCTGAGCCGATGTGGTGTCTGCGTTGTGCGCTTGAAGGAAGTCAGCAAAGCATCATCAGCATCAGCTGGGCCAGTGCGTTGTCTGCGTTACGAGTCTGACCACAACACGCAAACATCATCAGCACCAGCTTGGCGAGTAGCTTGTGTTGTTGGGCATCCCGCAAACATCAAGCAAGCATCATCAGCATCAGCTAGACCAGTGTGTTGTCTCAATTGCAGTCTCAAAAACCGTAAGCAGGCATCATGAGCATCAGCTGAGCCAACGTGGTGTCTGCGCTGCGGGATTGAAGGAATTCAGCAAAGCATCATCAGCATCAGCTGGGCTAGTGCGTTGTCTGCGCTACGAGTGTGACCACAACATGCAAGCATCATACCTTGTCTCTGTTGGGAATCTCACAAACATCAAGCAAGCATCATCAGCATCAGCT